CGGTTTTTCCCCGCACGACGTGTGCCGCGAAGGGCTGGCGGGGGGTTGGATTTCTGCTGTGCTCAGCTCGGCTGGGCTGAAGTCCGCCCGAAGGCTGGTCCGGCTCGGCAGCGCCGGGCTGTCTGTGTGACCGCACGGTGTGGCCGAGGACGAACCTGCCTGGCTCTCCGAGCGTGGTTGTGGCAAGTTATAGCTAGCCGGTATTCACGTAAGCAGCTGGGGAGTTCCAGCTTTGAAATGCCAAGATGAAACCAGCAGATAAATGCTAGTTTTCTGTTTCAATGAAATGTACTGGTTTTTTTCTCTGTTTTGTTTTGTTTTTTTTTCCTGTTAGCTGAACATCTCTTTCCCAGCCACTGGCTGCCAGAAACTCATTGAAGTGGATGATGAGCGCAAGCTGAGAACATTCTATGAGAAGCGCATGGCCACGGAGGTCGCAGCTGATGCCCTTGGTGAGGAGTGGAAGGTAAGAAGTGTAGAAGGATGTGTCAGGGATGTATTCGAGGAGCTTAAATGACAGAGTCTCTCCACGATGCAGCTGTCACACTAGACTGCTTGCATTGTGTACATCTGGCAGGTGCGTTTAAAGTTTCTTTTGCTATATATGCTGAATTTGGTGATTAGGCTATCCTGTTCTGCTACTTAAATCTAAGTTGGGTTTTTTTTTTAGGCCTTGTGTTTAGAGTTTCTTGCTGCTCTTTGCAGTATTTTTATGTTCGTTGTTTGAGTGCCGCCTTGGTATTCATGAAAAATCTGTATCATAAAACTGGTGATGCTTTCTTTACTGAGCAGGTTCAAAATTGCCTAAATTGTGTTTAAACTGCTGCTAGTGCATGGGAAAAAGCAGGTTGGAGCCTGAGGGATGGGCTTGGAATAGTTGAGTGTTTGTATGGACAGTCCAGATGAATTTGGACAAGTTGATCTTTTCTGCTGCCACTTCGACAAAGGAGGCAATAAAAGCTTTATTTACTTTCCCTTTTTACCCACATATCCCTATACGAGATGCTCTTGTGTTGTGTGGGCATTTCCCGTTAGTGATGGTAACAGACTTTGGTTAGGTTTAGGACTGAACAAAAGCTAGGTGGTAATGGACAAAATTCAGTCTGGTGTAGCTTAAACAAAACTGTGAATGGGTAGGAATTTAATTTTTGGATATATGTTTGAAGATAAGTAGAGTCAGTGTAAACTCTGGTATGCAGTATTGTTTTTCACATCTGTTAAGTAAAATTCCTGAACCATTGAAGTGGTGTTGGTTAAAGAAGTTGTTTGCATCAGCGGTAACCATGACTTTTCCTGAACCATGGGCACAGTGCCCCATTGTTTGGAACAGTGTGTTGTGATATCCACCACTTCTCCTTAAAGTAGTAGAGATGTATGACTCCAACTAACGAGTGTATTTCTGTGTTTTCATAGGGCTATGTTGTCCGGATCAGTGGTGGCAATGACAAACAAGGCTTCCCCATGAAGCAGGGCGTCCTGACTCATGGACGTGTCCGCCTGCTGCTCAGCAAGGGCCACTCCTGCTATCGCCCCAGAAGAACTGGAGAGAGAAAGCGCAAATCCGTTCGTGGTTGCATAGTGGATGCCAACTTGAGTGTTCTGAACTTGGTCATAGTGAAAAAAGGTAAGAGTCTGGGTGAAGCGAGCAACAGGTGGAAGTAGGCACCTGGAAGGAGCCTTCTTGCAGGTGGCTGAGAAGTTCTGTAGGATAAAAATGCAGTCGCAGCTGCACAGTCTGCATGTGTCTTTAAATTCCCTCTGAGCATTACATTCTCTTCAATTTTAAAACAGTCACTGAAACAGTTCCTGCTGCCTGCAATCTGACTGCATGAAATAAATTGGCAAAGTGTAGCTAGGAGTGGTGCTGTTGGCAGGTGAGCCCCAAGCATTACCTAGTATGATCTCAAACTTTTACCCATTTAAACTTACCATTGAAATTTACTAACGAATTGGGTGTTCCATAGATGCAGGATTAATTGGCGTGTTTAAACTTATATTCTCAAAGGTGAAAAGGATATTCCTGGGCTGACAGACACAACGGTGCCCCGTCGTCTTGGTCCCAAGAGGGCCAGCAGAATCCGCAAGCTGTTCAACCTGTCCAAGGAGGATGATGTCCGCCAGTATGTTGTGAGGAAACCTCTGAACAAAGAGGGTAAGGACTCAAATTTTACAGCTCCTTGGTTTCATGTAATTATCAGCAAAGAGGTGTCCAGCCTACTGCAGGGAATGAAGCATGCTGTAGTGGTAGATCCAGGAGTTGACTGTTGTGGTATTCAGGGTTTGTCAGCTGTAACTTAGGGAAAAAAGTGGTTTCTTGATTGCCCGATTTCTTTTCCCCCTCTCTTCCCTTTCCATCTACTTTTGCACAGTTTGTTTTTCAATATTTGATAGAATCTGGAGTAATATTTACTAGTGGTTCTAAGAATAATGCAGAAAGAAGGTTAAATATGAGGTGGAATGTTTTTGGAACATGAGCTGGAGGAGAAAAGCAGTGTATAGAGAAGATGCTAAGATTTTTCCCCGTTGCTTATGGCAGTCTCTGAAATGAGCTTTTATTGGGAGGGCGCTGTTTTGCTTACCAACTGTCTCTTGTAGTGTAAGATTTTAATTTTGGCTTTTGCATTTGTTAAGGGAACGGAAAGGGTGAGGAATTTTAGTTGTACGGACATGATAAAGCTTGGGCACTGTGAAAGCTTTGTGATCCTGGTGGACATCAGACTCTTGCTTGTGACTACTGAAGTTGGGCAGGATTGGATAGTGAAAGCTTACACATGTGAGCTCTGTTTTGTTTGCTCTTTACGGACTATGTAGATCTGGTTTTTGGAGCTAAACGTTGAGCCTAGGTAGAATTGTAGAGAGCTTAACACTAAAAAAAATATAATGGCTTGTTCTGAAAGCGAAATGAGTTTCCATAGTCTTTAAACGTTTTAAGTCTAGGGGGAATTACAGAAGACAGGCCTGCTGAGAAGCCAGGAATTTTCACAAAAATGCAGGTGATTCGAAGATCCGTTAGGAAAAACCTAACAGTACAGTGTATACTGTTACGCAGGTATTCTTTATTGTGGTGCCGGGCACACGGGGGATTTCTCCTCCAAATGTGCGTACCAGATGCCCTGTTGCTTCAGGTTAAATACAATCACACATGTAAATATTCATTATTTTTCTAGGAACTAATTAGTATATGTAATATGTCCCAAGATGAAGGCCCATCTTCTTCTTCATGCTGTTCACTGATTGACATTTGTTTCTGCGCAAACTCAGTTCTAGGATCATGTCCATCATGTCCTTCAGCTTGTTTGGCTCTAGTTTTGTTGCTCTCTTGGTGCCTCCATATCTCTGTAGCTTGGCGCACTTGCCCTCCCAAGGCCGAGCTGTCTGGAGTATTAGGAGTCTCTTTTATCCCACAATTATCCCAATTATTTGCTGAGAACCAAGACCACTTTTGTTTCACTTAATTATTTTGTCTAACGACTAAGTGATAGCTTGTGCCCATGTCCTTCCGCTACATTCCTTAGTGAGAAAACAGGGATTAGTGTAACAGTTACATCGTTAGATCACTATGCATGCAGAAATACAAGTTACAGTACTAAAGACTGCTAAAAACTAAAAATATTAAGGCTTTTTTGTCATAGTTTCATGTTTCTTACAATCCCCTCTATCACAGGCAGTGAGAGAGGTACTTTGCTCATGCTTCATTGCTGATAACAAATCATAAGCATTAAGACTGTACTTTGTTATGCTATCTCTGGCAGTAATTGATCGTTTTTCCTGCAAAATCTGTCAATAGGTTGAACTCTGTATAGTTGCTACAGTATGTATTACACTAAATAATGTTACCGTAACAGTTAAAGGAACTTACTCTTAAGTTTGCTAGATGAGGCCTGAGACCTCATTGCAATATAGTCTGCCACTTCTGATAATTTGTAATGCTTTTTTAGGCAAGAAACCCAGAACCAAGGCTCCTAAGATCCAGCGACTAGTGACTCCTCGAGTTCTGCAGCATAAGCGCAGGCGTATTGCCCTGAAGAAGCAGCGAACTCAGAAGAACAAGGAGGAGGCAGCAGAATATGCTAAGCTCTTAGCCAAAAGAATGAAGGTGCGTTTACCCTTATAACTGGCTATATGGAACACCTCATACCACGGAATCAAGGGATTTGATAAACTTAACTGCACACTTAGAGCTGCTCTCTGTTTAGCTTGTTTTGTGTAGGAATGCCTGAATGTGGGTATAAACATTGCTGGTCAGGTGTTTTTTTGTGAGCCTTTCTATCCGTTTTTGCCTGTTCTAGAATGGTAGAAATTAACCAGACCATTTAATTTAAATGAGACGCGATTTTGAAGAAAACGATAAACAGTTAGGAACTGGGAAGATAAGTTTTGCAGTAGTAATTTTAGTTCAGATGAATTGCAGTTCAGCTGGTACTTGAGTGAGCAAGCATTTGAGTGGTTGTGTGGACAGACAGGATCCAGCAGTTGACCTGGATGAAAGATAATTGGGCCAGAAGCTGTTTGTGTGAGTCTGCTCTTGCACCTAAAGCAGCAGTAACTGCTGACACAGTACTGTTAGAATATTCAGAGCAGGGCTTGAGTGCTTCGTGACTTTCAGACTGAAACTGAGAGTTGATGAGCCTCTAGTGTGTTGTGAACTCTGCATTAGTATTTTTTCTGTAATTCTGGACACTAGTCTGCATTGTTTAAAGACACGGGTCTCTACAGGTTTGGATACTTGTGGAGTTCTTCTGATCTATGAATAAGGGAAACTGTGTTTTGCTTTATTGACTGAAGGAGTCCATTCTTTGTGGTGGCTTCCTTCAGGTTGCATTTGCCCTAGTTTTGGTGCTTTGTAGATGTTTTGAAGTGCTTGATAATGCGTAACATCTTGGTACTGACTTCATGCTGCTTTGCTTTTCAGGAAGCCAAGGAGAAACGCCAGGAGCAAATTGCGAAGAGACGCAGGCTTTCTTCATTGAGAGCTTCTACATCTAAGTCTGAGTCAAGTCAGAAGTAAAGATGTACACGATACTAAAAATAAACCCTTTTGGTGGCTAACTTCCAATATGAGACTTTCCAGTGCATATTGTTACTGGCCATCTCTTAAAATAAATAGGAGTCTAGACTAACCGCATCATGTAGACCAAACTTGAACCACAAAAATTGATCCAGTTCTCTTTTGCGAACTTGTAAGATATATATTCACGTCTTTAATGAGACATTCCAACTTAGAATATCTTGTGCATGCTTGTTGATTTTTCTGCAAGCAAGATTCACCTGTAACAGCAGAATCCTGTCTGATGGTTCAGCATTATCCACAGGAACTAAACTTAAGCTAATCTTTAGGAGCTGTGGTTAGAGCTTACTTGTTACTGTTCAGTGCTGTGTTTGGGTTTTTTTTTTTTTTTACTTCTAAGTACGGGATGGTGTTTCCATATGAGGAATTGCATCACTTTATTTTGATGTTGAGTGTAAGATCAGTAAAAGGTAAAGCCTTCAGCTGATGGTTGGCAGAATTAAGTGCAGTTAAGTCAGTCCCTGGCACAGGCTTCTCACGGCACCAAGCTTGTCAGCGTTCAAGGAGCGCATGGACGATGCTCTGAAGTCATGTGGTTTAGTTTTGGGTTGTCCTGTGAGGAGTGGTGGTCCTTTTGAGTCCCTTCCAGCTTGAGATATTCTAGAATTCTGTCAAGTATTTTAGCATCCTGCTCTTGGAATTGGGGCACTCACTCTTACTGAGCATGAATAAGCCAGCTGTTGAAAGGTTTCACTTGGAAATTCCACTCAAGGATAAAACAACTTTACAGTAGCCTGTATGTATTCAGACTGCACTTGGTGCAGATCTGGTACCAGGTTAAGAATTCTGCTCTGACTTAAAAATGCATGTGGAGTCTTTGGTGTTGGTGTTCTACAGCTAAATAGATGGTCTTAGTGGTTCTTAAAATAGTAATCAGGATCCACCTCAGTAATTTTTGAGATAGATTCTTCTATTAACAGTATAAAAACTTGAGTACATTAAGCTTTATCATAACCTTAGAATTTATCAAGCTATTTTTTTTATTTGCTGTGTGCATGGCAAGGCTCTTTAAGTCAGGGCTCCACTGGACTGTCCAGAGGCATTTTTTTAATACACTGAATGTGAAGTTGACTCTAGAAAAAGAGTTGTAGAACATGTGACTTGATGGCAGAAGGTAACTGGCACAGAAGGATCAAATTGCCATCCTTGTAGTTTTGGTTTGCATTAGCGTGGAGTGATACTGGTCCCTGACAAGGGTGGAATTTGCCATGAAGCACGTGTGTGTAGTAGAAGCCTCAGATCCAGCAAACTGGCCAAAGCAGTTACTCCAATCTTCCATTTAAGCTGTCTTTCACAGCTTAACTGTTCATGTGGAAGAATAAGAACAGACTATTTCTGAATGGCAAATCAACTGCATAATCAGAAAAGGCAAAGAGGGTTAGCAATAGTAGTTAACATGAATTAAATAAGAATGTTGGCTAGTTTCATAAAATATTAAGAGGGTACCATTTTATACAAGATGACTAGATGTGTGGGTGGTGTTTTTTTTATGGAGGCCATGTTAAAGACCTACAATTTTACTTCAAACGAGGTTCTTTTCTCTTAGTGAAGACAGCTGTATAGGCCCTGTTAAGCCTGAGCTTCACTAAAAAAGTGTAGGTTTCACAAATCCACTTATAATTTAAAGTTAGTCTCAGCTGCAAAAACTGATAGGGAGAAAATACGGATAAATGTGTATATCATCTGGCAGTCAGATGTGCTTCGTATGACATCCTTACCCTGCTTACTACAAAACAACTTGCACATGCACTTTGCAAATGTTTGCTGTAAAGAAGTCGCATCGACGGGTGCTACGGCAGAACGGGGTCTCATCCTTCAGTATGAGATCAGCACTTGCAAAATTCACAACGCTGAGAATTCTACGATAGTCCACAGAAGAGAAATGCATGACCAATTTCTGAATGCTGTCCAGCCTTCCCTTTTGGATCCTAGTGACTGGTACTTCCAAGCCATTAAGAGGCATTTTCTCTGGTCAAGGTCACCAGGCAGTGTCCTGGAAGAGACCTGTGTTCTGATGTGGATGTCCTGCTATGGAGGCTGCTAGTAAGTATCTAAAGCAGTGCAACTACTACCCGGTTGTATTAATGGGTGAAAAAAGTGGTTGGGGTGCTGGTTACTTCTGTCAAGGTGTCAGTGAGAATGTGTGGCCTAATCCCTGATAAACAAAACCTCTTAGAATAGTTTGGGTTGGAACGGACCTATAAAGGTCATCTAGTCCAACCGCCCTGCAGTGAGCAGGGACATATACCACTGGATCAGGTTGCTCAGAGCCCTGCCCAACCTGGCCCTGAACACTTCCAGGGAGAGGGTATCAATCTATGCCAGTGTTTCACTACCCTCATAAAAAAATTTCTTCCTTATATCCAGTCTAAATCTACCCTCTTAGTTTAAAACCATTACCCCTTGTGCTATCACAACAGGCCATGCTAAAAATCCTGTCCCTGTCTTTCTTACAGGCCCACTCTAAGTACTGAAAGGCCACAATATGGTCTTCCTGCAGCCTTCTCTTCTCCAGGCTGAACAGCCCCAACTCTCAGCCTTTCTTCATAGGAGACGTGTTCCAGCCCTCTTACCATTTTTGCAGCCCTCCTCTGGACCTGCTCCAACAGCTCCATGTCTGTTGGGTGCTGAGGGTCCAGAGCTGGACACAGGACTCCAGGTGGGGTCTCACCAGAGCAGAGGGACAGAATCCCCTCCCTTGACCTGTTGGCTGCACTGCTTTTGATGCAGCTCAGGATATGGTTGGCCGCCTGGCCTGCAATCGCACATTGATGGCTCATGCCAAGCTTTTAATCTTCCGGTACCACCAAGTTCTCAGCAGGGCTGCTCTCAATCCCTTCATCCCCCAGCCTGTATTGATACCAGGGTTGTCCCAACCCAGGTGCAGGACCTTGCACTTGGCCTGTTGAAACTTGTGAGGTTCACAGAGGTCCACTTCTCCAGCTTCTCCAGGTCCCTCTGGATGGCATCCTGTCCTTCTGATGTATCAACTGCAACACTCAGCTTGGCGTCATCTGCTTGCTGAGGGTGCACTCAATCCCCCATCTATGTGATTGACGAAGATATTGAACAGTACTGGTCCCAATATGGACACCTGAGGGGCACCACTCATCACTGATCTCCATCTGGACATGGAGTCGTTGACCACTACCCTCTGGATGAGGCCATCCAACCAATTCCTCATCCACCAAACAGTCCACCCATCAAAACTGTATTGCTCCAATTCAGAGAGAAGGATGTTGTGGGGGACCCTGTCTAGCACCCTGTCCACTCATGTCCTGAAAGCCTCCAGTGATGGGGAATCTACCATGTCTGTGGGGAGGTTGTTCCAGTGAATGATTGTTCTCAGTGTAAAAAAAAAAAAAATCCTACATTGAAATGAAACCTCTCCTGATATAATTTGCACCTGTTGCCCCTTGTCTTCTCCATGTGGATCTTGCATGGAGAGACCCTCCTATCTTTTTAGCTGCACTTTTAATACATGACAGGGTCTCCCCTGAGCAAAAAGACCCAAGTACTTTAGTCTTTCCTCATGGGGCAGTTTGTCCAGCCCTTTGATAATCTTTCTGGCCCTTTTTTGGCCCCTCTCCACTCTGCATCTTTCTTGAAGTGTGGGCCCCAGAACTGCACACAATATGTGCAGCCTGACAAGCGCTGAGCGGAGTGGGATGATCACATCTCCATCTCTGCTAGTAATGCCCCTGCAGATGCAGCTCAGGATCCAATTTGCCATGGTTGCTGCAGGATTTCCTCTGCTCCCTGCCAACCCCACCAGATACTTAGACACGTGGATGAGATGCTCCCTCCCCCCTGCCCCCAAGCTTTCTCCAGGCTGAACAGTGCCAGCTCTGTTAGCTTCCCCTTGTGTGACAAATGTGCGAACACCTTCATCACCCTTGTGGCCCCTCACTGGAGTCATTCAAGGATGTCCAGGTCTCTCTTGTGCTGGTCAGCCCAGACTTGGACATAGCACCCAGATGCGTCTCACCAGTGCGGAGTAGAGGGAAAGGATCATCTCCCCCTACTTGCTAGCAGGTTTACCCAGCACACTGTTGGCTTGCTTTGCTGTGAGGGCACTCTGCTGTCTCATGGTCAGGGTGTCCACCAGGAACCCTACGTCTTCTCCTGCCCAGCTGCTCTCCAGCCTGTCTGCCCCAGCAGGTGGGACTGCTGTGTTTCTTTTTGCACCCCATCAGATTTTCTCCTGCTTAGCAAGGTAGTGACTCTTCCTTTACTCCTCTTTGTAGACAGTAGAATTTTGTCTCTACAGAGCTGGGGAGAACAACCACTAAAGAGCATTCTGACGCTAGCTCTGAACACATGAAGGATCAGGGCCTCCTTAAGCCAGCTCCTTCTGCTATTGCCTTCTACCCTGACATTCCCTCAAGTGTCCCACCTGATTTTGGTGCAGGAGATGGCAGTCCCTTCTTCCCTACAGCTTCAAACCCAAATCCTGTGTTCATGCTTCTTTGGGGATTCCTCAAATGCAAGCTTTTTTCCCTGCCTGTCTCCCTCCTTCACCCTCCACTCTCAATACACCACATTAAGGGCAGCACACTAGGAAGGCAGTGTAATATTTTTAGCAGGCAGCATTATTAAAAAGACAGCAGTGACAAAAGCAATCAGAGAAAAACCAGCAAAGTCATTGTGATGCTGACAAGACTGTAAAAGAAAGGTCCAAAAGACTGTTCCTGAGCTCCCTGCCTAAAAACAGGCCTGAAAAGATGAGTTTGTTATGAATCTTCTCCACAAGCTACCAGCCTGTCCTACACATATCAGTTTCTTCAGAGAGAAAAGTCTTTAGGGTCTGGTATTCTTATTTTCACTAACAGATTAATGAACTGACAGCCATACATGAGGGATTTTGAAAGATACTCAGTTGTGAAGGCCTGAAGCACTTGACAGTAACTGGCAGTTTCTACTGCTTAAATTTCATCCCAGCCTCACACTCCTCCCCCTGCCTCCCTGCCCCATTTAAAAAAATCCAGAAACTGCATATAAACCTGCAAGTATATTATGAGGCAGGAGACCCACCAGCATCTCTTGCAAGCT